AGAGATAACTCAATTATCAAGCAACATTCCCAAAATTAGTGGCCATGAGGGAGATGACCTGTTCTGTGAGCCAATTCTATGTCAGAAGTTTTGCCTCCTTGCCTGGGATCCCCAGGGGCTGCATCCACTGGGTTTATGACACAACATAAAAAGTCTGAAATGAATTATAAGAAAAAAAAAAAAAAATCCTGTCATGTTTTAAGTACATTACTATAAGACAGATTATATTATTTTGCTCTGTTATCAGGTGAAATATTTCTCAAATAAAAATTCAGCCAAGCAGGTGCAAAGTCGTTTAAACTGACAAATTGACTGAGACACATACAATGTGCAAATGCTCGTGTATGCGTGGAGTACAAGTTAGTCACAAAACAAGAGCAAGGGGATGTAAGCAGTATAGTAATACTGTAAGTAGTATTGACTTAGTAATGAGGGTTGGCACGAAGATGTGTAAAGTGGATATAACCTGTAAACCAAAAGGAAGAAGTGAGATCTAGATGTAAAAAGAGAAAATTAAGTAAGGTCTCCCTAGTCCCACTTTAATTTATGTCCATTACCAAAAGCGTGCGGCTAAAGTTGGTTTAACAGTCGTTGAATAAGGTTTCATTGATTTATATTCTGAAATTGGTTGATGAAGAACCCTGCTCTGGAGGGTGTTCCCTGCTGCCCTCAGGGTGCAGCTGATGGTAATGTTTGTGGTCTGGTTATTGTTCTTCTCATGGGGTTATCTGGTTTGTTGAATGTTGTATTTTTACAGGCAAAACAAGGTGGAAATGTTCATTCTGAATACAAGGGAACTTTTTCAGGCTACATTGCTTCTCTTGAGAGAGATGAAATGTTAAACTGTTTAACATCTGGGAGCATCTGTCCTTGTGGTCCAACCTGAGGATTAACTGAGTGCTAACTGCTGTTTTCATGGAGATGTAGAGAATGAACAGAAAGTGCCTAATTTGACCCAGTCTAATTTTAGAACTGTAGAATATGTAAGCAAATGCTAGATATATTTTAAAATATACATATGCATATGAAAAAAAGGATTTTTTCATATAAGGCCCTAATTATGTAACAGCTGGATTTTTTTTTTTTAGTTCAAGACAATGTAGTTCAAGAGAAGAAAAAGTTGTTAATTTGACAGTTCTGTGAAACTTTCAGAATTATTTATTTATGTAAAAAGGCTAGCCTTTAACTTTTATAAATTAATTAGTATTAAATATTCAATTAGTTGAATTACTGTAGTCTAATCCCATGGTAATTCAGTCTCTAGCAGTCTGACAACTATCTAAAATGGGACATACTGTTTCTGTGAATAACTACCAATGTTCTGCTTTGTTTTTCTACTCAGTTTTACATTAATTTTTTAATAGCAGAAAATGACAGAATTTGTTTCCTGCTACTTACCTTTCATGTTAAGATAGTTCTGGAGTAGTTTCCATTTTTCTCTTGGGTAGTCAGGTGTTGCCCTCTAGGAAATTTTAGATCACTTCGAAGAAGTATGTCAAGGACATTAACTTGCTGAAGATCTCTGTAGCAGTGCAGCAGAGATTTTAAAGTCTTTAGTCAGCCTAAAGTCTTTCATCCACTGATACTATTAGAAGTAAGTCACAATACTCTTAGGCATGTTTTATATTCACTAGAAGATATGGCAAATGTGAGAATGGATAAGCAAGCATATTATCCTCCCATCAGTGTTTGGCAAAGATTGTTCCGCAATATTTCCATTCTTGTTCCGAGATACGTTTCTACAATGACAGTTTACTGTGCTATACAAAAAGATTCCTAATAACAATGAATGCTTTATTCCATGCTGTACTATTTAATGATGAAGGATTGTTTAGGAGATTTGACAATTCAATGCTTATTCATATCGGTATTTTCAGTATTGAAATGAGTAATAACATAGAAAGCATCAACTCTGTTAGTCTGTAATTTTTAAATTAAGGAAAGTTGTGGGGTTTTGTACGAATAATAAAACCCAGTAATTTATGTTACCTTTTATTTTTAAGGAAGATACATGATATCACTGGACTCAGTGCCAGTGTGACTATTTTTTTTCCATGTGGCGTGCCTAGTTCTGCAGTAGTTAGCTATCTTTTATGTAGGGTAACTGAGTGCTAGTAACAACTGAGAGAATTGTAGAGCAGTTGAATAAGACACAAATTTGAGCAGCTGGGAAGTGAACATACCTGTGTTGCATCAACACTGCAACATTTTTAAATTGATACGGAGGAATCACCAAATTTTGTTTTTTGGATGATCATTCTCATGAATACCCCTTTTCAGAACTGTAATCATGAATGTATAATATAATCATATCTCGACGCCTTCCTAACAGTTCACCTGTGTAATGACAAAGTGAATTTGTTAAGGGCCATGCATGACTAGTGTTTACCTACCGTTCTCTCATACTGGGGTCCAGAAACTTGTGTTAGGTACCTAAACTCCTTTTGCAGCATGCTGGAGGAGTTCAGGGTATGGGAAGGATGCCCAACACAATGAGTTAAGCCAGCTGTTGGTTTTTGATTGTATTTTTCATATATATACAAAAATTGTGGCTATCATGTTCTACACAGGATGGTAGCTAATAATATCTAGTGAACTCATCTAAACCAATTCCCTCTTGTTACGCTTATTTTTCTACATATTTTTCCTGTTAATGGGTGAGTTTGATCCACTTATCAGTTGTGTCTGTATTTTTTTAAATGTTATTTCTGATTTGAAATTTTTTCTGTTGCCCAGTGCAAATATAATCAAGTTGTTTGTATGACCTGTATCTGTTGAGTAACATCTCCAGCATGTTCCCACAGCAACAGGATTTACCTTGTTGAAAGAAAACAGACACTTTAAAAATTACTGTCTATTTATTTTATTATTTTGTTTCACAGAGTACTCTAATTTCATTTGGGTTTTTTGCTTTGGGTTGTTGGGTTTTTTTACCTACAACAGGTGACCTGGAAAGAAAAGCAATGGGCTATTTGCAGTATGCTAATTGTGGCTAAACACCAAAACAGACATTGAACTTGGGATGTGTGATTTCAAACTATATATATACTCAGCTGTATTTAATTTTTTAGTCTGCCATAGGCTTTCCAGTTTAAATGTGTACCTGTTTAAGTGGTACCAGCTTCAGTCTTTAGAGCCCTTCTACCCAACCTTTCTTAAGATTCTTACAATTTTTTCACTAATTCTGGAAGAAAGAACAGACAGGATAGAGTGAAGTTGTGTTCCAATAATTTCCTAATCATCTCTTTGTGCAAATACATATTTTGATCCAGAATAGCACATAAACATGAAGCCCATTCTGCAGTCCCCTTCCAAAATTTATTTCCGTTGAAACTGCCTGTCTCGCTTCTGGACATAGAGACTCTCTTGACCCCACTGTTACGAAAGAGCTTATTGTTTCTCCTTCTAAATTAAAAAGCCTTCCTAGAAAGTACACTTAGATGTAAATTGTTTGACTGTGGTAGTTCATTCAAATACTTTAAGGAACACTGTGGCTTTTAGAGCACATTAGACCTAAACTAAGTGACAGGGGACCTTCTCTCTCTTCATTTCCAAGTATCCTTTCCAGGCCAGGTGGCATGATACTGTCTTTAGAATTATTTATATGTCTCCCTCATTATTTTATCGTGTATTTTAATCTGTCAGATTTCTGTTTTCTAGCACTGTGCAGGTTGTCAGAGTAATCCTGGATGGAGCAGGCAGGGATTTTTGGTAATCAGAAAAATGTAGCACAATTTTTGGTTTCAGGTATTCAGGTTTGCTGTCATGAAGTAGGGCGTGCATTTTCATATCCTCTTGTTCAAGAATAGATGGAAGCAATTCCTGACCTAGGAAATGAGGTATATTTTCTGGTTTCTTGTCTCAGCAAAATACCATATTTTTAGCCAAGCTGAAGTAGTGTTGGATACCAACTAATAAAGCAAAAATTGTTGTCTGGTAGAAGTTTCAGTATATTTTAGGGTGAAAAGTTATGTCATTCCTTCCTCAATCACTTGCGAACCCCTCTGAGACTCATTTCACGTCTTTGAAAATATTTTACCAGACATAATGTGTATGGACTTCAGACTGGATCATAAGAGCAGTGTGGAGGATTTGAGGTGGGCTAAGTTTAGCCTGGGATGGGACAACAGTGGGTCTCCAGGATGCTGTGTGATATCATCTGTCAGGAGAGCAAGCTCGAGGTTTTTGTTTGGTGTAGTGTAAACCAGAATGAAGGTTGGTCTCCTGTATTCTTGTTGTACCTCTGAGAAGAGGAAGCCCTCTATAGCTATAGGCTGGGCTGAGCTGGATGACAGCTTTTACTACCAGCTTAAGTGTAGCCGTACAGGTGTTCAGCACCGGTGGGGCTTGGCAGGAGAAGCTGTGCAGGAGGCTGGAGGGTGGCTGTGTGACCAGGGGGGACCGCTGATTCTTCCTGCAGCTGATTCTTGAGAAGAAAACTTGTGGAAATCCCATAACTCACAGATATCAACTACCAGCATAGGTTGTTGTATGAATTGTGGGAACCAGCAAATCTCTCTGTGGCTGGTATTTGGTAACATTTGGCGCATTACTGCACTCTCAGAATGCCTCTGCAGTGAGATTTCTTGCTTAGGGGTCACTGGCAGCTGCTGGCACCCCTCCTTCTAATTTGTGATTTCCCTGAAGACTACTTGGGGGCTGCACATGCTCCTCCGTTGCTCTGGGCAAGCCTGGCAGCAGAACTGCAAGCTGAGCATAGTATATGGATTGCCAGCTGGTTTATGATTTCTAATTACTGACTTGAATTATCCCAAATGGATTCAGAGCACTGGTAGCTAGAAAAAATCTTGTATCCTATCAGATGTGTTGGTATTAGATGACGTGATGCTTTGTGATGTTTTACGTGGATGCTTTGAGAGTTCTCTGTAATTTTTATGATTTTAAAACTATAACTTACAGAAATAGTCCTCTGTGTAAATGATTGTACACGTGTGTGTGTTTGAGGGAAATCTTCATGCTGTTTATCTTTTGTTCTGCAGACAAAACCTGTTGCATTTGCAGTTCGGACAAATGTTGGGTACAGTGCAGCTCACGATGACGATGTCCCAGTCCCAGGCATGGCCATCTCATTTGAAGCTAAAGATTTTCTTCACGTTAAAGAAGTAAGTAAAACTAAAGGAGTAAGTGAATCTCTCTTTAAGGGTCTATTTGAGTAATAGTGGTACTACTGCTTAACGTTAAGATAATGCTTCGCATTGTGAAAGCACTATACAAATGTTATATAAATAAGGTAACTGTGTATAAGGAAGTGGATGTTCTTTGAAATACTATTCTTGTAAAAGCAATGGCATAAATTCCTTACAGTCAAATTAATGAAGTTTGCCAAGCAAGTGCTTTTCTTCTCTAGTAAAAATCACTTATTTAGAGCTTTAAAACTCTATATTTGCATATTCAATTATATAATATTTGTGGGGCTTACCATTCTAGTACTCTGAGGGTTCCTTGTGATTCAGCAACTAAGGGTTGATTCGCTGTTACTTCTGTGACTGAGTCTTAATTAACCCCAGTCCTCAGGTCTCCTTTTTTTCACTGAAGTTACTTCCCTGGCACAGACAATATTTTGTTAACAGTTACATACTGAAGAACAGATGTGATATTTCAAGATGCACATAGCAGCTGTCAGAAAAAGGCACTTTGCGTTTGCTGCACTGGTTTTCTTTTCCCGTCATTTGGCTTTGACAATTTTCAATTTTTACAGTTTCAAACACCTAATTTTTTTTTTTTTCATTCTCTGCTTCTTGCAAGACAATCCAAAGCAAATAGCTTAGTGACTTTCCCGTACAGGCCCTCCTTAGCAGCCCACTGCTCCCTTCTGAGTGATTCCCTCATTTTATTAGATTTTCCAGCTTCTGGTTGTATTCCGTTGTGTTTTGTCACAAAGTGGTCCATCTGGAAAAGGAAATTTATAGCAGAAGAGCTAGAAAGTTAGCTTAAGGGTAAGAGCAACTTAGCCATGCGTTTGAAATAATATCTTTCAGATATATTAGGTATATCGATTTTAGATTATCGAAGAATCCCTCAATAGTTATGTCTGATGATGCACAATGATTCTGCTAGTGCATGTGCTTTGCGGAAGCAAGATATATTCCTAATACACAGGTAGAAACACAGTCGGACAGAGACTAAGGAAGCACAAGAAATGGACTTTTAGTACCTTCATACTGGTGACTAGTGGTCATAATTTTCCATATATATTAAACACATGAAAAAGGGATAATTTGGATTCAGACTGTATATAGTGAAGAAAATGTTTTCTGTCTGACGACAGTGCAAAAGGATTGCTCTGCTCTGTCTTGTGACAAAGGTAGAGATGAGCAGGCACAGAGTCCTGGCAAAACGAAACCATGTTCTGCAGCACTGGAAAATACAACTTGGTTTGGTTATATTAAATGATTTTGTGTAGTCGTCTATCCCATCTGCATTTTGCACAAGCTGGTGATCTCAGACGTCACATCAAGTCTTTCTCCTGTTTCCATATGAAGCAGAAATACAATGTTAGCAGATTTTCCGTTATAATTTATGCTTCTTTTTTCCCCACGGTACAACTTAGACTCAGATGTAAACATGCATGGGAGAAAATGAGGAATAAAAAGGTTCCTGAACTTTTCTGGATCTCCAGAAATGCCTTGAAAGAAAGCTTAGCTCAGCTGAGTTATATTGTCTGTCACTCATGTAGCACTGCAAAATGGAAAAATAGATTAAAATGTTCTTGCAGCTTCAGGTGTAATAAACAGGCACTCAATGCTAATCGCCTTTAAAAATACCTGGTTTTCTCTCTAAGCAGTTCAGGAAAGTTGACTGCCTGGTGGTGCTAGGCCAGAGCTGTGCTGTGGAAGGGACCCTGCACTCAGGCCAGGTGCTCTGCTGGGGTGGAGAGGTGGTGGGAAGGGACCTGCAAGGAGTCAGACTTGGCCTTGGACTCTGCTCCTGCGTTTGGCAGCGGCTGTTGCATCTGGGCAGGTTGAACCTCTTCAGTGGCCTGAGCAGCGGCCCTTCCCTGCACAGCTGCATGTACCCCCTCCATCTTCTGTGGCCATGCCCTGCTCTCTCTCCCGGGCTCCATATCCTGCCAGATGCTGCTCCTTTAGTAATTTTGGTGCTCCCTGTAGTTAATGCTGGGAGAACCAAAATGTCCAAACTTTAATTATTTATGCAGATGCAAAGTAAAAAAACATATTTGTCTATAGTCGCAGTGTTGTTTTTGTATTTTATACATAACTTTGCTAGAAATAAGGAAATCTAAGTTAATCTCCAATAACTTTTGCCAGCATAGTAGTGCCGTATTGGATCAATGCTGTCCTTCTTGTCTGCGAGGAGTGTTCTCCAATTTGTGCTGCTGAGAGGGCTCAAACAAGAAAAACCTCCATTCAAAACATACATGGGCGATGGTGCAAAGTACTGCAGTGATTGAGTACGAGGGAAATTTATTGTTAGGTTGCATTAATTAAAGCTCAGTACATATAAAGGTGAAGGTTTCCTTCCTGCATGAAGAAATATGTGCTGCATCATAGTCACTCCTGAATCTTCTGAGGCTTTAACGCATTGCTGCAATTCTTCCTTGCATTTAATTTGTATTTGTGTTTCCCTTGGCACTCCAAGCACAGGTGAATTATAGAGAATCACTCACCCCTGCTAGTGCCTTGAGGGTGGGACACCTCCCTACCAAGATTTCCACTATTGCTTCTTTAAAATTAGAGAGTATAATGTGTGGTATTATTTACTTAGATGAGTATCTTACCCTCCTGACACAGCATTTAGCTTTGAGACTTTGCAGGAGTGAATTCCACATGCTTTTATTTTTGTATGAAGAAAAAATTCCTATGGATTTAGCATTTCCATCAGTTATAATAACATTAGTATTGTTGCCTAGTAGTCTGTTGTACTGTAAGACAGCATTAAGAAGTAGTGGCTGTTCAGATTTTCATTTAATGGTGTTTTTTAATTATCTGTCTCTTCATTTTACCAAGTTAATGATGCTACTTCTGCAGCCCTGGTGTAAATCATAGAGCAGATCCATATAATGGCAACCTCCATTGGCTCAACTGCTATACTCTTCCTCCACCTATATTATCCTACAACATATTTTAAATGCACATGTATATCTTTAGTTAGCATTTTGCAATGAAAGGTTATGATTTTAATAATATGTTTGAGCCTAATACAGCTTTGATAAACTGCTAGTCCATATTAGCTCCCTATTAAATGTTGGTATTCTTACTCATGAAGGCATCCCACTGGATGAGTGTTATAGATCCCCTTACATTTTATAAGCTTAAAAGTGTGTTTATTTTCATCTTTATTTTTTGTTAGCTAGATATTTTAAAGATTGTTTCAAGCATCAACATATTTCCGTAGTAGCCAAAATGAAAGATAATACTGCAATTTAGGTTGTGTATCGTTGATCTGCTAACGTTGTATTCTCAGTAAAATTAATTCTTTTTTATGGGAGCCTACTCATTTTACATGTTTTACTCCTAACTGTACACTTGCTAAAACTACTTATTAAATAATAAAACATGCACTGTACAATCTACATTTATAGCTTCAAATTCAGGAAAGCAACTTCTCTTCCCATTCAGATGTTCTTACAGTTTCATAAATAATCCAAATTATTCAAAATTCTTATTTGATGGTAGTGATTCCCATGGAACTCTTAGAGTATTGCATGTGGGGCATTACATAACAGTGACCTATTCTCATCCAAAAATGGTGAATAAAGAGTAAAGAAAAAGCAAATTTTCTGCTCTACAGATCTCTGCAAAACAAACAAAACCCCTTGTGTGTCTATGAATAGGTGTTATTAAATTAGCGTAGTCATTATCTCATATTTCATATAGCTGAAATTCAGTTAATTAGACTTGTGCATTTGTGTAATTGTAAGCTTTTTTAGTTACCCAAAGATACCATAGTATGTTTAAGATGCAGATCACAGGAGCTGTATGCTGTGGAGCATGTATAAGCAGTGGAATGTAGTCATATTTCAGAAGATTTTAGTGGGTTCAGGGAAGCGGCGGAGAGAGAAGTAGTATTTTTTTATTTTAAATACAGAACTGAATATAATGGAATAAGAAAAATAGATTGTTACAGTCGGTGCTGTAAAAATTGTTACAGTGGGTAGGAGCAGATCAGAAGAAATCTTGGGTGTCCACCAAGGAAAAGCATCAAGGGAGAACAAAAGCAGCTCTCATGTATGAGGGGAAAAGACTGTGAAGCAGAAAAAAATAAAGATGGTGAAATGAATGGAAATAACAGCTAGGGAGAGTCATGAAGTCAATGAAGGAATGTTTCTGCTTAAGTACTGTAGCATTGTGATAATTTGCAAGGTATAATTATTTTAATGTTTCTCTGAATATTACCACAATTCTTCCTTGCCATACATAGTACAGTGATTAACTGCAGGGAAGAATTACAGAAAATGACTTAGGTGCAATATAAAAATAATAACAAAATTATCCCAAATACCGTAATTTCTTAGTACATTTTTTTTTTTGTCTGTAGAAATTTAATAATGACTGGTGGATAGGACGGTTGGTAAAAGAAGGCTGTGAAATAGGATTCATACCAAGCCCAGTCAAACTAGAAAACATGAGGCTGCAGCATGAACAAAAGGCAAAACAAGGAAAATTCTACTCCAGGTAATAACAACAAATCATTAAAAAATGTAGCATTGACTATGACACAACTTGGAAGTTAATGTGTATGCTGTAGTTCTGTTTAATTAGTGTAATTGGCAGCTACAAACACTTTGAATCAATGAAGGAAGTAATATTTATTTAATTGACATCATTGCCGTTTGAGAGAGAAGGTAGGTATTAGATTGGTGCTCTGTGTCCACCTACAATTGCTATTATTCCATTTTAATTTCATAAAAAAATTGCAAGTACACGTTGCAGTTAGTACATTTACTATGTGCAAGCACAATTTTTGACTTAAAAATTGATCTCCCTAAATTCTTTGGCATGTTACTCGTTTCCATGATCTTGCCGTTTCTAAAGACTTTCAAAGCTGATTTTAGAAATTATAGCAAATGTTAAGATGAATTTATTTGTAAGTTAGATTAGTTAGCTCTTAAGGAGAAAAATGTTTTGGTCGTGTCAAATTTGTTGCCCACAAATATAGCTTTTAAGAATACTGCATTTTATGATGGAAGTTTCATGTCAAGTCATTTGTTCTCTCTGACTGCAGAAAATAAAGATTCAGTATCTGAATGTATTGAACAGTACTGCAAGATGGAAATAATGTCATCTTTACTGTGGAATTCTTAATAAAGTAGTTTTCCAGTAAACATTAACACATGTGGAAGCAAATGCCACTTGCTTCCCTTTAGGTATGGAGGAAACAAATTTTTCCAGTATGTCTGAGTGGGATGGATCTGAAATTGAGAGAACAGCTGGGAAACATTTGGGAAGTCAGAAAGGCTTTCCTGCTGCCATGGGAAGGGCAGCAGTGTTGGAAGAGCATGTCTATGCTAGGAGGAGGCCAGGATGCTCCAGTGCTCAGCTGCATTTGCCAGCTGGAAAATGCCTTTCCTGTGAGTGTGCTGGCCTCAGCGCAAGGAGCTCGGGGTTCTTGTTCCTCTTGTGACAGTTCTGATACAGCCAGTTCTGACCCAGTGATTCAGTCCCTTTCCAACTTGTAAAGGCTTCCATTCTCCAGAACTTCTCACTGGAGGTAATAATGGCCTACACCACAAATGCATTTGCTTAGTGCTTATTGATGTTTTAAGATGGAGAAAGTGGAAAGTAGTACTAACACAGAAATTATTTGAGGAGTGAAATAGTCTTTCTTACATTCTTTTCAATGCTTTTCTCGTTATAGTGACTGAAATAAAATATCTAAAAATATTGTTTTATTTTCACAACTTGGATAGGTTTTCACAAAGCAGAATTTGACAAAACTGTAGACTGCTTTATCTTCATTTGAGAGACTATTTTTTTTCCTAAGTGCTACCTTGCATTGAGACAGCAAAAGAATTCGTACTTTAGTTAAATTGAAAAGCTGCTAGGCAAACACATTGTCATTAGGGAGCTATCAATAACTCTTCTGTTAAAGGAAACAGATATGCTTACTGACTTAATAATTAGTCTTAATAATGAGTAGTAATATCAACAGTTATGTATCAGTAGCCATATTAATACTTGGATCATGTTAAGATAATGAGGTAGTGAGAGAGTATGCAGCAGAATGAAGTAGCACAGCAGAACAAGGAGCTTGATTGATGTTTGCAATTCCCCAGTCCTCAAAACGTACACACATTTTGTCTAAGATGTATATTTTATATCACTGCAAGAAATCCTGTTTGTCTCTTGGTTATTTGCTCATTTAGAAGGCAGGTAATAAATAAACTGGAATATATACTGAGAAAGCTGTGAAACTTCAAACTAATCTGCTGCTTTACTCCAGTAAATCAGGAGGAAACTCTTCATCCAGTTTGGGTGACATCGTTCCTAGTTCCAGAAAATCGACGCCTCCATCATCTGGTGAGTAGGTCATGAACCCTTCAGTTTATGGACTCGTGCACCTAATCTGTTAAAATGTATATACATATAGTCCTATTTTTCTTATTCCCTATACTTCATAGGTATGAGATTGGGTGGTTGCGTTGACCTATAAGGCTGGTTTGGGTAGATTTGAAGTAACGGAGTCAATGCCAGCAAGTTCAGGCAATGATAGGGCTGTTAACAAGGCGTGAAAGTCCCTCTTTGCTTTTACCATGTGTTTTATAGCAAAAACATAATAAAATGATGACTGTATTGCAGTAGGATAGTTGGAGGTTTGGTGTGGTCTGAGCACTCCTGCTGACCAAGAAATACCTTCTGGTACAGGCGAAAAAGCAGCGATAAGAACAAAAATTCCCAAGAGGTTTCTAGTAGCATCAAGAACGGCATTATTTTATAGTTACAGGACTTTTAGTTTCATAATTCTGATAATGAGGAGGTGCTTCACATAACGTTAGCATAGTGGATATTTTTTTTCCTTTCGTGACAAATTTTTCACAAATAATGTTTTGTATTTAGAGCATCAGTGGACAGATTTAACTTTAGTTAGGTTGGATTCAAAAGGTATGAAGCAAATTCATGGCGAGTTGGTGAAGGAAACTGGCATTAGTTCCTTAAACAACATAGCAGAAGATTTAAACAAAAAATTCTACTAAATTCAGCTGCTGTGTTGCTGGATGTTTTGTCTTCTGAAAGAGAAAAGGTATATTTTATATACATAAAATCAGAAAATAGTACTGAATGTTGCTAGTGCCTTGCCTTAAGGCAAAGATGTATTTTCCAATCGTATTAGTTTATATGGAGCCTGGTCTGCAGAGCAGGCATCTTAAAATGATCCTGAAGATTTTAAACTATTTATATGGACATTAAGAGAGAGACAGAGGAATTCAATCAAATTGTGGTGGTAGCTTCATTTGATTAAATTAGTTGAAAAATATGTCTATCTTCCTTTTGAAAACATGAATTTGTTTGTAGCAACTAACTTTGTTACAATTGCAGTTCGTTTATCAAAATTCTACTTAAGTTACCTACCTTCCCTTTTTTTTTTTTTTTGGAAAGGAGGTTTTTAGTTTACTAATACATATCTGTCACGAGTCTGTAGAACACACCTTAACCTTTTATTTTACAATGGCTTTAACCCATCATATTTACTGTTAAAGCACACTTCTTCAACAACTGCATTTTTGCAATAGAAGTGCCCATGGACCTATGTTGTAATTTTATAGTTAGAGCATCTGAATTGCTATAATATTCTTTTGTATCCTAAAAACACTTGGAGATCAGCACAGATGAAATTTCCACAACGTTGCACAGAATTTAGAGGTAAGAGAACATATAGCATGCCTAGGTTACTGACAGACTGATTGCAGCCATCCTGTCGTTTTCATTGCATGGAATTGTTTCTTCTGACAGTAGTTTTCAGAAATATGGTTTTCTGGAGAAAGAAGGCAGTCTGGTGAAGTTTATTCAGTTACACTGAAGATTGGAGAATATTTATGAATAGTGCACATTAGCTTATTCTGATCTTAAAGTTTGGGGTCTCAGGTTTTTTGCTTATCTCGTGAAGGGTGAAAGAGGCATAATTTGTGACTAACACAAGAAGTCAAGTGACTTTGAAGTACAGTTCAGTTATTATTCCCAGGCTGCCTCTTTTTGAAAGTATAATAACTGACGATTACATAAATTATTTAATGAGTTGAAAGTACTTTAACTGAATAAGTTAACTTCATTTTTTTTGAGTCAGGGATTTTTTCTTCAATATAAGCTAGTGCTACAAAACAAAAAAAAAAAACCCTATGCAAGATGAAGAACCAGTGAAAAATGAAAAGGAGGCTTGTAGCCATTTAAATAATCAATATTATATTGATACAGTAGTTGATCCGTCCAGTCCTCATGGGCCACCAAACAGGATGAGGACAGTGGTGAAAATGACTGAAAACCAGCCAATGAACTCAAGATAATTAACTGTAAAAAAAATATCACGGAAGATGTTACATGGTGTGAAGACAAAGTGGAAAAAAAGGAGATATTGATATCTAGCTGATCAAATGCTGCATTTGTTTTTTACAGGAGAAACTTAACAACCCTGTTTTTTCTTTACTGATGATTTTAGTTGAACATAGAACTGAAGGAGTTTTAATATGCCTTATTATGAGTGATTTATAGCATCTGTGGTGGCCTGTATTCAAGCAAAGATAATATGTTCTTTTTATACTTATGAAGAGGATGAAGGAACAGTGTTGCTAGAAGAAAATGTTATGTGATTTCTGTGGCTGTTTTTAGGAGCAGAAGTATAGAAACAGGGTGCAGATCTATTCACAGTCTTGCCTGGCAAGGGCAGGCTCAAAGGCACAGTTCTGTAGCTCAAGAGTTATCAGGCATCATGGAATTAGATCTGTGGATAATTCAAATGGGAAAGTATACTTTACCCAAACAGAAGAGATTGCTTTCCCAAGTGTCTCTTAAATCGGGAGCTGCATGTAGGCTCGACAGAAATACTTGTGTTGCATAATTTAATAGCACATGCAGCTATATTAGTTGATGTCCCACTCATCAAGCAGCTGAAAGCAGGTCACTAAGGTGATTTTGTAATGGTTTCCAATGATTAATTATGGGTTTGGATAAAGTCAGTGCAAACAATACTGCATATGCATCTATTTAGAGTTAGTTCTGTTTGACAGAATGGCACGGCAGGGAGAGCGTGTGTTACCAGAGTGGGTCAGGAGGTGGGTAAGGTCTTTACACGCAAGGGTGATGTTGTACAGCATGTCTGTGACTCGCTTTTGTGTATGTATTTGCTTTCTAAAGATAAATGCAATACATTACTTAAGATCAGGATTGAGCACTGTAAGCAAGAAAGCCTTTTTTTTTGTTGGTTTGGTTTGGTTTTGTTTTGGATGTAGGTAGCACGTCTCTGCTGGACTCAGTGTTCAGGATAACATGGCTTTCCATTTTGAAAATGTGTTTATTTCTGAGTCCGTGATGGTGTTTGCTTAAACTTGTTCCTTACTTGCTAAAGAGGGTAGAAGAGGGTAAATATTTTATGTTTATGGTATAAGCATTTTGTGCTGTATATTCTTTTGGAGTAGAGGTTGTGCAGTAGTGTTTATTGTGTTCACTTCCATTTTGCCCTGCCTACATCCTCAATCTTTACAACAGGATCCAGGTCTCTGAAACAAGCTGGGATGAATTTCCTCTCTTCTGCTACCCATTCTTTTTAGCTTTCACTATTAGTAGGTCTGTTTCTATTATTTCTAATAAATGTGTCTTATGACTACTGTGCATTTTTAGTTAAAGTGGTTAAAAATGCCAATTGTAGTCCACCGTGAGAGAAAAGTGGATATTATTGTATGAGTATCAGGCCTTTTAGTCTTCAAAAGTGATTTTTCTCTTGTTTCTTAATTTCTTATAGATATTCTAGTGACATTTCAAATTTCAGTTGATGATAGCCGTTTTGAATTGGTGTTCATTGCTGTGAAATAATTGGGATGTTGTTGGCCAAGTTCTGTTGTTTACGTTGGTGAAAGTCGTATCTATTCCTGTGAACTAATTTGGATTTACACCGGTGTAACAAGAACGAACTTGGCCATTGCTCTGTTTTGTAAGAGTAATCCTGTGTATGTCTGTTGTAGCTGCGTAAAAGGGGATTAGAGGAAAATGTTATCGTAGCTGTTACAGATTGCATTCTGTCTTCTAATCCTAATGTACTGCACCTTTAAATTTTTCCCTTTGTTTTATTGTGTTTTATACTCATGGTTGATTTTTTTTTAATTTTTATTTATTTCTTTATTACTCTGGACCATTTTCTTTTTCTTTACCTGTAATTTCCTTTTTAACCTATCTTTACTTTCCCTGTCATCTGATAATTCTGAATTGTTTGTCTGTATATAGCTATAGACATAGATGCCACTGGCTTAGATGCAGAAGAAAATGATATTCCAGCAAACCATCGCTCCCCCAAACCCAGTGCAAACAGTGTCACATCACCCCACTCCAAAGAGAAAAGAATGCCCTTCTTTAAGAAGGTAACACCAACTTCCAAGCTCCCATCTGTCCACCTGCTCACCTGCACTGCGTCACATTTCTAGTCCTGTTAACTGTCTGCGTCCTTTGACAAGCCAATAACATGCATGCTTTGTTGTTCTTTGTTTCTTTTCCATGCTGCTGTAGCTAAGCAGAAGCAGAAATCGGTAAGTTTATATTGACATTACCTGTGTTTATCCTGCCACTGGCATCATTAGCATTATTACCCCAGATTAACAATGCAGCTGTTCTAGAATGTTCTAGAATGAAGGAAGAGCTGTTAGTGGATTCAGTACAAGAAAACGAATAGTCAAGTCCAGTGTGTCTGTGAAACTCTGCTACAGTACTTATCCTTTTTGATGGAATAATAGGAGACACTTAGAAGGCCTTCTGAAAGTTTGAGAAATTTATTCCTAACAAATCCATGTAATGCGCCTCTCTACTGCATGCTTATAACTTTCTATCTTTCTCAAGGTTTTTTATAACTCAGTCTACTGAAGTCATTATTGGAATCTCATCAGATGCTCAGATTGTACTTGGAAAACAGTCAAAACTGTTATATTTTTAATTTAGTCAGTATTTAAACTTCTAATCACCAGGTGCAAAATCTGCAGGTGAACAAGCCCAGCGGAAAACCACAGACTTGTTTTGACACTTTACTTTGAGTTTTTCCTGTTGTCATGTATAAATTATCAGCCACATGTTCTTGCCGTCCATTAGTCAGACTTTTTTAGTATTTCAGCTAGTGGCAAAGGTACTGGAGGTTCCCAGGAGAGCCAATGTCTCTCCATAGATAACCCAGATAACTAGAGAATTACGCAATTTGCATCCTGGTACAGCACACTGTAATACGTTTCTAGGATCTTTGCCGGAATAAATTATCAAGGCATTAGGTAGAAGCCAAACTGTGCAGTGAAATACCACATTTCTACTTTTTTGGTTTTTAAATCTTTAATCTTCATAGCTTTTATGGATTTTTAACCACTCAAATCTACAGGTAACAATGGACTGTTGCAGTGCTTATAAACAGTGCGAAGTGACACTGTTGCCTATGCTGTGGGTGCTCTCGTGTTTAGTAAATAAAACTTTTTTTTTCACTCTCTTTTCTTCTTGAACTCTTTTAAATAATATTGGATCCTTCTCATTTCCAAAGTCACCAGCATTTGCTTCAGTAGGGTCTGTTAAGTACCATGTCATTCACAGCCCACTGTGGAAATCAACAGCAGTTTCTTGCTTCGGATAATTTCTTACTTGATCATGTTTATAACCAAATAAAAATGCTAGGGAAGAATAATACATATTTACATGTATTGGATGCTATCTGCATAAGTATCTTTCGAAAATGTAGCTTCTAGATGAACCACCTTGGACCTGGATGGTGGCTAGTCCCATCTTTCTTCATTCTTTCTATAATCAGAATCATTACTGGTTGTAGTGGGGTTTGTAATACAGACAGTTACAGTAACTACTGGATGGGCATTCCAAACTAATCAAACCACTGAACAAAAGCCATATGGTCAAATCTATGGTAGTTTTTATTCCGAGCTCATATTTGAGCTGGAATCTGCAAGTGAAAGCTGTAGTGCCAGTGCTCAGTGCCAGTCCCTTAGAAAATATTAGATTCTCTGATGCTAAATTAAAGAACTTTAATGCTTCCATTAGATAACTTTTACTCAATTTTCTGCTGACAGCTTCATTACTTCAAGCTGTAAAGATTAGAGAAAGCCTGTTTCAACAGAACATGTTTTTTAAAAAATTTTAAAAATACCTGATATTCCATCAAATAAGGTAATTTCTGTTCTTT